TCATGCCTATGCCTTCCACCCCAATACCCATTCCAGCAGGTCGCAACAGACTTGTTCCAGCTCAATGACCAGAAACTAGATATGCTGATAGATTGACAGGTTGGTGAAAGTGGAACATCTACCAGGGGACACTGCAAGCATAGGTCTCATAGCCATCTTCAGGAGATGGTTCAGGCAGTTTGAATTCCAGAGGAGCTATCATGTGATGGGGTACAAATCTTAACCCACTTACGATGGTTGTCCCACATATGTGACACCCAGAAAAGTAAACATTACCGGGTATCCCGCAGGTGTGACACTAGATCAGAGCTCGTACTCTGATTTTATCACCTGTGGCGCCATCACGCAGGCAGGTTGCCGGACTCGCCCATGCGCCAATTTTGAACCGCCCGGAAAAATATTATTTTTGGCTTATAAATGTATCGTCACTAGTGGGTTAACAGCCAAGAATCAAGGAGTATGGCTGGAGTTTCTTCTGCTCACTATCCCCAATCTAATGGGTATGCAGAAGTGGCTGTCAAATCTGCCAAGAGGATATTACGAGGCAACACTACAGTGAATGGATCCCTGGACACTGATGCCGCCACTAAAAGCCCTCATTCAATACTTCAACACCCCCTATAGAACTCTGATGCCTATCCATCCCAGCTGCTGACTAGGCATCAGTTAAGAGATGCCGTTCCAGTAGACAGCTCAAGCTATAGGGGTGAGCAAGCAGTGGTTTTGGTTTGCTGAGGAATAGTGAACGAGCCTTGCACCACTTGGGAGAAAGTGATGTGTCAGCCACAACCTCATCTCGTTGAACCAGGAAAGCGCACCCATATTCAGAACCCTGGCAGTAGGCGTTGGGATAGCTTGGGCATTATTATAGAGCTGAATGCACCTCGACAGTATTTGGTACAGCTTGATGGCAGTGGAAGAGCCACAGTAAGAAACAGACGACACCATGTCCACTCATGAGTGAAACCAAGCCCAGTCACAAGACGGAGGAAGCAGTAACCAATTTCCCTTCCACCCCTGCAAGATTGAGACACATCAGACGTGCCCCGCAACATTTGAATGGTTACATATTTTTCAATGGCATGGAATAACAAACTACTCATGAATCTGTTTATTTCTTTTGTATGTAAAATTGCATTGATTAGTTTTTGTTACATAATAAAAAGGGCTAATACTTTGCAAATATTGGAATACTTTTATGACAAAGATATTTACTTGCAGAAAGTAATGGAGAAGCAGCTCCAACTACACAGGCTGCTAAGTCTATCAAAGCAATAGACAGAACAACAGTTCATAAGATATGCTCTGGTCAGGTACGTACATAATTTAGAAATGGTCTTGTTAACTGTGCTCCTTTTCTAAGTTATATTCCTATTCTATTATTTATTATGTTCAACTTAAAGCATGTCAGTAGTTTGCAACCTTTTAGGGATAAACCTTATAAGGTCTGAGTTTAATTTTTACACTCTATCTCACTTTTTACTTCATTATGTTGTTTCAAATGTTTTAATATGCATTCCTCTATGCAGGTTGTTTTAACACTTGGAACAGCTATCAAAGAACTTGTGGAAATAGCATAGATGCTGGAGCTACAAGCGTAGAGATCCGCCTTCGAGATCATGGCATTTCCTTGATTGAAGTTATAGATAATGGAAAGGGAGTGGAAGAGAGTGACTTTGAAGGGCTGAGTACGTATTACTTACTCTCCAGATTGCTGAAAATCTGTAGAAATTTTGTTTTGAACATCTGTGTGTAATATTCCTTTTTCCTGTCTGTTCATATAATGATTGACTTCTTAAGTATTGGTAAATAAAGTATAGTCATGTTTAACAGAAGTTATCAGATTTTTCAATAATGTTATATTATATTTTACTAATAATGTCCATCCTTTCCTCAAAGCTTTAAAACATCATACCTCAAAGATACAAGACTTTGGGGACTTGGTTGGAGTGAAAACCTTTGGGTTCCGAGGTGAAGCCCTGAGTTCCCTGTGTGCCCTTAGTGACCTCACAATTGCAACACGGCACGAAAGTCAAGCAGTTGCCACTAAACTAGTTTATGATCATAATGGCAAACTTATTACCAAAACTCCTTGCCCTAGACAGGTAATTTGCATCTATTGATTGTTGATTAATTTAGTTAGAATTTGCAAGGAAGATAAATTGAAATTGACTTTTTCAAATTCAACCATCCTTTTAGTTGATGAAAATAATAATGATGATTTTTTTAACAGGTTGGAACAACTGTCACTCTGCAGAACCTGTTCTCAACCTTGCCGGTAAGACACAAGGAATTCCAGCGTAATATCAAAAAGGAGTTTGGCAAGATGGTACAGGTCCTGAATTCATACTGCCTAATATCCACTGGAATTAGGTGAGTTGTCTAAGCCTATTTTTATCTGGCCAAACTGTTGTCCTTTGAATGTGTCATCAGATGTTTAAGGGTTTGAAGTAAATCATATATTTTTTTTTCTTCTTTTTATTTGTAGGATATCATGTACAAATCAGAGTGATAAGGGCAAAAAATCAGTTGTGCTGTCAACAAATGGACATCCAACAATAAAGGAGAACATCTCATCAGTATTTGGAGCTAAACAGGTAACTCACTTTCTCCTCATCTCTCTCTTCTCTCTCCTGTCTCTCCTCTGTTGCTTCTCCTTCTCCCTCTTTCTAACCCACTCCCTCAAGTATCTTTCTCCTCTTCCTAACCCACTCCCTCAAGTATCTTTCTTCCTCTTCCTAACCCACTCCCTCAACCCACTCCTTCCACTTCTCCCTTCTCTCTCTCTCCATCTTCCCTTCGAATTCTCCCTTCCTGTGTCTCTTCCTCTCTCTGTCTCCAACTCTGCATCCCAGGCAAATGCTTGAGTAGTAAGTAGGGATAAAGGAAATGTGTAGTCAGCTTAAGATCCTCCAGAAGATTTTTGGTTGACCATGTGTTTCATACAGAAAACTAGAGACACATCTCCTTTAGATGTTCATTTATGTTCCTGATCCAGTAACTATTTGACTTTCTTCTTTTTCTTAACATGTCCCTGGAAGTTATTTGGTTACATTTCCTTCCTTGCTTCCCCAAATATGGGACTCTACTCTGCATCACTGTCTTTCCCTAATCTTTCAGTTTGTATGGTTCAAGAGGCTGTACACAACTATCATTTTCTGAAGTTCTTACTATTGTTATTTCTTGTTATTGCTATCCTTAGCAAGTTGATGCTGACTTTGTGGATAATTGGGTGAACCATAGAAAACGGATTTAGAAATAATTTAGATTTCAAACTGATTTTTGAAATATAGACTTTTTTTTAGTGAATGTATGTATGATTCACATAGATAGATAGTTTACAATGTCCAATTTACAACCTTTCTTATAATGTCTTAGGTTTCAAGCCTTATGGAATTCAAGCAGGAAACGGCATCAGATGACATTTTTCTGAATATGGCATGCAGTGCTCTAGTGAAGATATCAAAGGTAAGAGATTTTGAACACAAATACAGCTGTAGTGATAAACATAACTCAGTTATAAAGAAAACACTAAACTGAAGATAAAGATCAGAATATACTCTTCACCAAAAATAATTGGGATCCAGTTCGGTATTTTAGAATTTTCCCTATTTCTGTGGCCCCTTTTCATTTCATCACATAAGATAATGCTGAAAGCAATCTACTGTCAGCATGTGAATATAACTCAGTAAAATATTTGTATGATCAATGAATATTTACAAACTCAATAGCAACAGCAGAAACAATACTATTGGGGATTTAGAAAAGTGCAATTGTAATATTTAACTCATTTCAAGAGGAAATTATTGAAATTCCTAAAATAATTAGTGTGCAGTCAGTAGATGGTATCTAAAAGATATGGGTAGAGTATTTTTGTTAATAAATATATCTATACATAAAACTGACATTTTTATTCTCTATAAATAAAACCCAGGAAGTATTTTGAAAAAACGTTTGTTTACACAAAATGTAGGGCATTTGATCTTGTGTCTAGGGCTAAACAAAATAATTAGTCATACAAGTCATATTCTTGATATGATGAATGATTCAAGTTGTTTTCTATTTTGCAGGGAATACATTATTTACCTGGAGGGATTCATTTCGTCCTGTGAACATGGACAGGGACGTTCAGCTTCTGATCGCCAGTTCTATTTTATCAACTCTCGTCCATGCGATCCAGCAAAAGTATGTTCTGTTGTTGACTGAAGACAATGTTCAGTGAAATTTTGATATATTCATGAGCAGTTCAATTAATAATCAATAATTTTATACATTCTGTCTGAAGATACAAATAAAACAAATGTAATGTCTCTTCCAGGTCATCAAGGTCGTGAATGAGGTATATCATCAGTATAACCGCTACCAGTATCCTTGCGTTGTGCTAAACATTCGTTTGAAAGAGGATGATGTGGACATCAATGTGACTCCAGACAAGAGACAGATATTAGTCAATAATGAGAAGCTTTTACTTGCAACAATCAAGGTAATTATTGTAAGATAGTAATAACTTTAGTTCAAAGTGTTCAAGGCTAGTAGTGAATTTGCATTGTTCAATCTTTCAAAGACATTGGCCATATTAATAAAGTTTGGTCATGTACATCTATACATTTCATATTAATAAAAAATACAATTTTCTTTTCCAGACCTCAATGATTCGTCTCTATGGAAATATACCAAATTCTTTCAAGATGCAGAACACATCTCTCAACAACTCTTTCACTTCATCACAAAGTAATAATACCCCATCAAGAGCAAGCCCCAGTGTAGGGAGTCCATCCAACAGTAGGATCTCAGCGCTTAGCCAGAAGTTTGGTCGCAAATCTGAAGGCTCTCCACTGTCGAACCTCTCCCCTACACAACCATCAACTCCACTTTCAGTATTTAGCCTCAAGAGGAGCTTTTCAAACAGTTCTTGTGCTGACGAAAGCCCAAGTAATAAACGTAAGTTGGCAGTTAGTCTTTGTATGACTAGCAATGTGTGTGTATGATAAGTAAGCTTTGCCACAGAGATTGTTACTATTTGTGTAAGTTGAGTTCCTTCCAATTGATTTTGATGGAGGACTGCTTGAGATGCTGCTATTCCCATAATTATATATAAATTTCTAATTTCTTGCATTATGTGTAAATTTTATACAGACTGACTATTTCTTATACTTGAACTACAAACAAATGCTGATTAATAGCTAATAGACAAGTGATGTTATATATTTTGCTGTGAACTGCACTAATTACATTGCTTTATCTGATTTGCAGAACCAAAACTTGAATCTTTCCTGGCAAAATGCAAGTCTGATCCTGGAAAAAATCCTGTTACCAGCATAAAATCTGAAGAAGACGACAAAAGCTTTCTTTCAGATTTCACCCCACTGGAAAATCATGAGATTGTTACAAATGGAGATAAGAATGATATTGAGAATAATGATGCAGTTAAAGAAGAGTGTGAAGACATGGAAGGTGGAAGGAAGATGGTAAAAAGTGAGATTCTTGAATCTGATGAAAAAGAAATCATGCCACCAGACAGTGCAAATGAGACAAATTCAATAAAAACTGAAGATAACCAGCAGGAAATGTCATTGGTACTGGAATCTGAGCTTGTAAATGGAGATTTTGGTAATTCAGAAGGAAATGACGAGATAGGTAACAGCCAGCAAAGCGACAGTTTTGCAAATAATAACAATGAAAAAAATTCATTAAAAAGTGATGAACTAAGAAATCCTCAGTTATCCAGTGGTTCTCCAAAAGGTCCTAATTTAAAGAGTGGTCTATCTCAATTTTCTAGGTCTGCATCAGTAACATCTCAAAGCTGTAAGAAGGCTCATAGTGCTACAGATAATTTCTTGAATAGTCTTTTAGCAAAGAAATCACAGAACAAATATGTAAAAGGAACCCAGCATACCATCTACCAATGGATACAAACATGATGCTGTAGATGTAAGAGAACAGAAAGATGAAGGAACAGTTGAGGACACAGACTTTGCAGAGATCTGGGAAGATGAGTTTTATGAAGATAGTGCACCAGAAGAGGAGAAAACAAATGAAAAGACTATTGTGTGTGAAGAGTATGATCCAAATGACTTTATAGCAAACAGAAAATCTAGAACAATTGAATTTAACGTTGAAGACATCAGGAAGAAATTGAACATAAGTACCAGTACTGAAAAAGAAAGACCTGGAGAATTAGTCAGAAAGTTCCGAGCCAAGATTGCCCCAGGTGAAAATACTTCAGCGGAAGATGAGCTGAGGAAAGAGATCTCAAAAGACATGTTTGCAAAGGTAAAATTAATTCTGATTTAGTTTGTGTTCATCACATTTTAATTTTTTATTTATGTAGTGTTATGTGTTTTATTTGATGTAATGTTATTGAATACCATCTGCCAAACACATCAAGTTGTCATATTTCTAGGCAGTTGACAGTAATTAATATTCTGAAAGGTTGTATTTAGTATGCAGCAGATAATTTTTTACATGTTGATGTAGGCTGCTATGCATAGTCTAAGAACTATTTACAGATGAGATAGTTGATCATTGATTGTTAAGGATTACATACTGTTTTTGAACTGTGTTGGGAAACTGTCACAAGTACATATATTTAAACTTATTTTTTTGATACATATATATTTATTCCTACTTTTCTTAAATTTTCAGATGGAGATTTTGGGTCAGTTCAATTTGGGATTCATCATTGCCCGCTTTGGCTCAGACCTTTTCATAATTGACCAGCATGCAACTGATGAAAAGTACAACTTTGAAACTCTCCAAGCAACTTGCACAATTCAGAATCAGAGACTTATTGCTCCACAACAACTGAACTGACAGCAGCTAATGAGACAGTCTTGTTAGATAATTTGGAGATATTTTTGAAAAATGGATTTGAGTTTAAGATATGAAGAGAAACCAATGGGACAAAGGGTGAGCCTAATTTCAATGCCCCATAGCCGAGGTTGGGAGTTTGGACGAGATGACATTGACGAATTGATATTCATGTTATCTGACTCTCCTGGGGTGATGTGTAGACCAACTCGTGTCAGGGCAATGTTTGCTTCAAGAGCTTGCCGTAAGTCTATTATGATTGGTACTGCATTGACAAAAGCACAGATGCAGAAACTGGTTTGCCATATGGGTGAGATTGATCAGCCATGGAATTGTCCGCATGGTAGGCCAACAATGAGGCATTTGATAAATCTTGATATGGTCACTGGATCAAGATGAGTAGTAATGAGTGCTCAGAAATTAACTAATTTTTAGATTTGCTCTTATAAACAGAGAAAAGATTTGATCATACAGGTGACTTTTGTATATATTTTTTCAAGTGTAAATATCATATGTTAGTTTTAGAATTCAGTGATCTTTAGGATATATGAAAATTAAAATCAATTCAAATTTTATTATTAATGTGATTTTACTATAAAGAAAAAATGTTATATTGTTTTATCTCATTTTTGTTTTGTAAAAATAAAAATTAAGAGAACAAGTAGGGCTAATGTGTGTATGTAAATAAAAACTTATATATCAAAGAAAAGAAAATTGTAATAGTGTTGGTAGATTTCTTTTGTATATCTCATAATTTATATTTTGAATTTTTGCTTTTAAGTGTATGTTTTATAAGTAAACCAGATAAAGTGTTTGGGCTTTTATAATACCTTAATCATAGTTTTCATTTATATTTTTTATGGATATCAGACAGTTCATGGGTAATACCATAATTGTCTCTGGAAATATTTGACAGTGATTTATAGTCTTCCACTTCCAAGTTCACCACTTCATGTTGTTCATGTGTGAACTGCCAGCTTTTGTATTGAAGCATATACCTTTGTGTGGCCGCAGGAGTCGAAGAGCAGGTGAACAGAACTGTATCAATTTATTGCATACTAAAGTATTTTTCTAATTTGAAAAAAAAACATCAATGCACATCTGGATCAGAGAGATGTTATATATTATGAGTAAGACTTTCAGAAAAGATGAAATAAAATAAATCCTTTTAGATACAAGTGTTGAAAATTCTTGGAATCTCAAGAACACAATTGCAAGCTTTCTGTATGTATACTGATAAAATTAACAAGTATTAGAATGATGCTGCTTGACTAGAAATTGATATTCCTTATTATTATGATTATTAATATTGATGATGATAAAGATACTAATGAAGGTAATATTACTATCAATAATGGTGATGATATTATTATAAAGACAATGATGATACTGAAATTATAATAACTACATTTATATATATATATATACAGTATATATATATATATATATATATATGTATATATATATATATATATTATATGTATATATATATAAATATTTATATATATGTGTGTGTGTGTGTGTGTGTGTGTGTGTGTGTGTGTTTTGTTTGTGTGTGTTGTGTGTGTGTGTGTGTGTGTGTGTGTGTGTGTGTGTGTGTGTGTGTGGTGTGTGTGTGTGTGTGTGTGTGTGTGTGTGTGTGTGTGTGTGTGTGTGTGTGTGTGTGTGTCTGTGTGTCTGTGTGTGTGTGTGTGTCTGTGTGTGAATATGTAGATAGATAGATTGATATAATAAATAACCATCAGAACAATTTTTTATAATATTAATATTAGTATTAGTAATAAAGCTGATAATGCAATAAAAGAAATGCTATAATATATATTAAAAATACTGGCAGTGATGATAAAGTAAAAAGTGTTAATTAAAGGTACTACAGTGAATATAATCAAATAGTAAAATTGTTAATAAATTTGATTAAGAAAATGCCCATGATAGTAAAAATAAAGGTTAATGAACAGTAATAATAATTAACATGATACTTGCAGCAGTCATAGCCATAATGATAGTAGTAGCAGCAGATCTTACATATAATAGAAATAGTACTAATAGTTATCATATCTGGCATTACTATTACTGGTATATGTGGTGCTGTATGACCTTGATGTCTAGCACATTTTTTTGTTATAACCATTAACCATTATTACTGGTATAATCATAATTATTATTATTTTCATTTTAGCATATTTGTGATTATGATATTAAGATTCATTTTTACAATTATATTTCTTTTATATGTCATTTTTATTATTATCATAATTGATAGTCTGGTTGTGCCTTATTCTCATCAGTATTATAATTTACTGTATTTTAGTTATTCTTACTGTTGTTGTTTTTACTCTTTTTTTTTACTTACTATCATTATTATTATTACTATTATTATTATTATTATTATTATTATCATTTTATCACATGACAAAAATATCTGCTACCTAACACTGCTAAGAGAATGCCCAAAATACCCTCACACAGCCTGAGTTCTAAACATCCGTTTTCTGTAAGTTATCATTATTATTATTATTGTTATCATTATTACCATTTTTATCACTATTGCTATTATTATTACTTTTATTGTTTTTATTACCATTATTGTTATCATTATCATTATCATTATTATTATTATTATTATTATTATTATTATTATTATTATTATTATTATTATTATTATCATTATCTTTATTATTATTATTATCATTATTGTTATGATTGTTATCATTATTATTGTTATTGCTATCGTTATGATTATTACGTTATTATTATTATTTTTTATTATCATTTATTATTATTATCATTATTATCATTATCATTATTATTATCACACACATCTATATGTATTTATAGTAAGAGGGAGAGAGGAAGAGAGATATAACTGCAGATATATACATATACTGTTATTATTTTCATTACTACTGCTACTACTACAATTAGTATTATTGTTGATATTATTATTATCATTATGATTTTAGTTATGATTATTACCATTGTTAGTGTCATTGTAATTGTATTTTTTAATTGTTATCTTTATTACCTTTATTTGGTTGTTGTTAGTATTATTATCATTATTATTATTGTTGATATTATTGTTTTTTATTATTATTATCCTTCTTATTCTTATTATCATTGTTATTATTATTGTTATTATCATTCTTGCTTTTTGTTATTATCATTATTATTTTTATTGTTATTGTTCTTATTTTGATTATTGGTATTATTATTATTTTTATCATTATTAATATTGTTATTATTATTATTATTATTATTTATATATTATTATTATTTATTATTTTTATTATTATATCTTTATTATTTTTTTATTATTATTATTATTTTATTATTTTATATTATTATTATTTTTTTTATTTTATTATTATTATTATTATCATTATTATTATAGCATTATTATTATCTATTATCTTTATTATTTATCATTTTGAGATTATAATTGATTATTTTTTATTATTATATATTTTTTTATCTTTTTATTATTATTTATTATTATTTATTATTATTATTTTATTCTGTTATATATATTGTTTATTTATTATCATTTCTTATTATTATTATTATTTATTTTATTATTATTATTATTTTATATTATTATTATTATTATTATTTTTCATTATTATATATTATTATTATATTATTTATTATTATTATTATTATTATTATTTTTTATCATTATTTTTATTATTATTATCTTTTTTATATTATTATTAATTTATTTATTATTTTTTATTATTATTTAATTTATTATTATTATTATCATCATCATCATCATTATTACTATTATTATCTTATTATCATCATTACTGTGTAAAGTAATGAAAAGGGATTCCTTATGATAAGATCGAAGAAAAGCTAGGGTAGTTAGATGCGTAAAAAAGTACCACGTAATGATGTAAGTATAAATGGTGAGATCCTATTGTTACATATAATTTTAAATGAATATAGAGAAAGATATGCGTCTTTGTTTATACATTTATTTCATTTTGATATGATGATATCCGTAAACAGAAGTATAATGCAAGATATTTTTTTTATTCAAATTGTCCGCCATGATAATCCGTCAACTTTCTTCTTCAGAAAATATATACCTCCCTAAAATAAATGAATTTGAAGAAATATACCCCTGGTAATTCCAAATTAATTACAGGTATTTTTCAGTAATAATTCAAAATGATTCATCTTTTACACGAAAGAATCATCTTTTTGGTCCGTGTCCCTAACGCCTTCTTTCTGGTCGTGCTCCATACACGAGGTGAGGAACGCGACGTCGACTCCTATTTAACGGGAAATTTAAGGGTGCACATCGTCGAAGAGTGAGTGTTTGTGACCATAAGTATCGAAGGAGAGATTCTATCACGTTAATGGAAGTCGGAATGGACGCAAAGAGTGAGAAAAGGAAGTAAAACGCGGAGTGTAAACAAATGTCCCCGCCATGTGTTGTTTCGTGGGAAGCGGCTGAGGGCGAGCGAGTGCGAGGGACTGGTGTGGGACCTTCTGTTTACGTGGAAAGGACGCTTTTTTGTTAAAATGTGGTTAATTTTTCGGATTTTGTGAATTGGCATTTTCCAGATAGTATGTAAATCGGATTTATTTAGGAGTCTCGTGTTCCTTCCCTCGCAGTCACGGCCGACAGTCTCGATGTTTTAGACTCCTTAGCGGTGTAATTAGCCGGTAAACGAGGTGAAATAGGGATTTAGGAAGGAAGGGAGGCTTTTTGTAGTTCAGCACCGTCTTTAGCTTTGAATTTATTGTTCCTTATGCGTTTTGGGACCTTGTGCTGGCGTGAATCTCGTTTGTTTTTCATTCTTCGATCATCCCTACGTTACCCTGCGTTCACGTGGGCTAAGGGATAGACCTGATGAAACGTTGAACGAAGCGTTTGCGTGGCGAACAGGGCGAAGGTTTGGAGGAAGTTCGGTTTGCCTCAGCCCGTTTGTAAACAAGCAAAGTGGCTGCCAACTTAGAGCCTCAGAAAGTATCTGTGCGAACTGCAGCGTGTCCATTTTTCCTTTCTATCTTTGATACTTACTAAAATGTGCGTTATAGGAATCGTCATCATGTGTACTTTAATTACATTTTTAATTAGTAAAGTAAATAATCTCTCGTGATGCATCTCGGCAATGTTTGCTGCTGCTAATAATAATCAGCGGATAGGTGCATTGCACGTGTGAAACTGTTCACTCTTGGCGTTTTGGGACAGGGTGAAGCGCACCGTGCAGAAATGTTTGTGTGAACACATGGATAGATAAGTAATGGTATTATATTAGTGACCACACCCTTATGAGATGAATTATGTTACTCCAGCCACTCTCAGGAAATCCACAAACATTGCTGTATAAACTCAAAAACTTTCTTTATCCATGGGCTTTGGCTCCAGACCCCAATCGGGGGCTCTGCACCTGGACCCCCACCAGAACCAGATGGCGTGGACTTGCTCACCCCCTGGCAGTAGTCACAACCTATTTTCATTTCTGATAACTTTTGCTGCTGCAGATTATTTCAAATATTTGATTTTCATCTCCTTTATTACGACGTTGGTATTGCATCTTCCTGTAA